GGCGTAAGTTACGGCGTCACTTTTGAAGGAAGGATTTCTCATTTTGTTAAACTCTGCTGCTCGTTCCTCAGGTGAGAGGGACGCGATGACCTCTCCTATCATTCCTGATGCTGCCACTCGTCCTGCAGCTGCTTCAGTCCACCTGCATCACCTGACAGCAGCTCTGTTCACCTGCTGGCTGCACGGCAAGTAAAGCAGCTTTAGCTTGATGTCTGCAGGCCTCTTGCTTTGCTCTCACTGGCGGGGAACACATGGTCCAACTTATATTTATTATGACATTTATTTTACGTGGCTTCATTAAATCCTCGAGAAGCGGCCAGAAGATAAAAGCTCAGCTGACCTGCAGGATCTAAATCAGCGGCAGGTTGTGCAACAGGAAGACGGAGGGTTTCTAGTGTTTCAGCAGGAGTGTGTTGGATCAGCGCTGGCCTCGAATCAGAGCGACCCGACCGGACCGGACACGTGGAGCGGCTCAGGTGCTGCCAACACGTGTTGTTTAGTTTGCTGCGATAAACAGACAAACTCACAGATAAACCAACGTCCGTCTTCATTCGCCTCGACGGGAGATGAACTCGAGATGCTTCTTAAGTCAAGACGGCCTCCTTCTGAGGCGGTTTTTAACTCTACAAAGGCCTCCGTTTCCACTAAAGTGGAATCTAAACGAGCAACTAAAGTTTTAAAAACTGGGGATTCTTGCGAACCAGAAAATCACCGTTTCAGACGTTAACTTTTGGTGTTAAGAAACACAGTCCAGCTGTTTAAATTTAGCTCGTTTTGTGATTTTACTGGAGAAAAAAAGCTTCTAGCTTCTCTGCTGAACATCTAACGAGCTCCAGAGCAAGTGATAGACGAACACGTGTTAAAACAACTTCTACTGATCGATCAGTTCTCTTGGAAAACAGCGTCAACGCTCCTGAAGATCCTGCAGAGCTCAGTTTGTGATTCAAAAGCCATTCGTTGTTCCGTCCGTCTTTGTAGAGCGATACGAACCGAAAACAAACTAGTTTTCTGTTTGAATTACAGTGTTTTAAAATTGCTCCCAAAACTGTTTGAAAGAGTTAAAACAGAGTTAAACATGAGATTACTGAACTCATCACAGCGCAAATAGTTTTATTTTAACTCCTTAGATGTTTATTTTTTTTAATAATTCGTCTTTTTTGTGAGCATGAAGGAATCACATCTGTTATTCTATCATCTCATCTTGTGATGCATGACGATAATTAAGCAGAACCTTGAAACTTGAGTAAGAAACCTGCATCTAAGCAGCTTGTGCAGCTCCAGTCAAACCCATGTGTGTGAAGTTAAACATCCACAGCTTTCTGTCCTGGCTTTGGCTGTGTTACATGTTTATTTTCTCATATTAAATGATAGATTTTCATGAGAAACATGCGGCTGCGGTCCGTATCTGTTTGCTTTTTCACGTGAAGACACTAACAACTTAATTGAGGTCGACTCACCGAGCTTAAAGCGGCTTCCTGTGGCCGTTTGGACTCGCTTTGGTTGTTCGGTTCGATAAAAAAATGAAACGACGGCGTGGATATGTTGAACTTCAGGCAGTTCAGGCCTTCAGGAAGTCACCCCGGTTGAACCACAAACTGTTGTGTTTGTGCAGATTAAATGGCCAAGATGCTAATTAGTGACCTTCCTCTCATTTCCAGGCTTCGTGTTAAACTAAACTACAGACACGAGAAGGAAAAGAGAACACGTTTGTTCTCCAGGCTGAGCTCTGCAAACACCATCCGTGTATATATGACAACACATCAAATGAAGATATGTACAGGAAAACAATAAGGTACAACAATACTAGAACAAGTATACGTAAATCAACTGGTTATTCAAACTTTATCAATTAAACGCATTCCAGTTCAAATTCTATTTAGTTCAGAGTGCTTTACAAGAGACCAGAAAAGTAGAGAAAACTGTAGAAATATCACACAAAGCACGACAAATCCTTCATAAAATAAAAATAGATGATAAAAAGAATGAAATCAGACACACTAAAACCACCTATTTACAAAACTCTACGTATTTGTGTTGTTTCTTTATCCATTCTGGAGGAAATATTATGATTTATGTGAAGGAAAATGGGCGATAATTCAAAATATAATAAAATCTAATACAGAGCAGAGCTTCAGCATTCAGCATGAGAATATTTATTCTCCTGTGGATCAACTTCTCTTATTTTATTTATTATTGCTGCTGATTTAACACATAAAGGCGTGTTTTACTCTTTAAACATGCAGGAGGCATCTTTTCATCTCAGTAATAAATTAAATAAAATTAATTTAGCAAGATTTCAAAACTTTTTGCACATTCAGTGATAAAACAGCATCCAGACTTCTTCTTCTTTTTTAAATTAAATCAGCAGAACCAAAGCCGCTGAGCCTCCAGTGAACCTTATCGTCTGAGTTTGGGTTTGAAACCATCTTTTGGGAAACGTTTCTGGACAGTGAGCTCCCACATGAAGCTTTTCTTTCTAAGGATTTGTTGACGTGGCTCCTGCAGTGGAAACAGCTGCTTTCCAAATACGTCTCACCTGATTTATTTTAAGTCTGTATTTACAAAATGAAAACCTAATTTCCAAAACCTGTAAATCCAGTTTTCATCCTCGTGCGTCTCCTCAGGATCGAGTCTGGAAACAACACGACGTTAATGCAGATTTTAAGGGAGTGACCTCTGGTGTGGAAACATCTGCTCAGCGAGGTCTAAATGAGTGAGGGTCCCTGATTCTCATTCTAGTGGATCTGACGGCAACAGCTGGAGGAGGGCAGATGTTACATAAGGAGGTGAAGCCATCCTGGTTCCACATCTGTGCAGCTAAACGGGTTTTCTGGTGTTTAGATTTGGTTTCTGTTTGTTTATCTGACGTCGTGTGATTGTTAATTTGCTGTTTGTTTCCATTCGTGTTCATTTTTTTAATAAAAACCCTTTTGTTTCCTGTTGTGGTTGAGTACAGACCTTTACGGGGCGACTACACTTTTAAAAAGAACAAATCCTGAAGAAAAATGGTGAAAATCTGTCATTAAGGGAGCCAGAAAAAAATGAAGCAACATCCAGAGATTTCTGAGCTGTTTCAAATAGAATAAAACTGTATTTTACAATCACATGTTGTAAAAAAAAACCCCCAAAAAACCCCAATAAATTATAGTTTATTCAAGATTTTGGTCTGTTCTCTGTTAAACTGCCAACATGTAAATTAACAGTTTATTCTGTGAAAATGTGCAAAAATAACTGTTACAAATATTTAACATTTCCTGGTCCTTAATATACATGTTATTGCTTTTTAAATAACTGCAAATATCTGCAAAATAAAAATTATTTTGTTGATTTAGATGCAAAAAACCCCAAAACAAAACAGTGTAATTTTATGGTCAAACTTTTTTAAAAGAATAAAAATTACCCTTTTTAAAAAATCTGATTTTTTTGATGTAGACTTTACGCAGTTTTTGCTTTTTTGTTTTTTTTTTTACAGTCAACATATAAATTAATTGTTTTCTTTGTAAAACTGTGATACTCTGTAAAATAACAGCTAAAACATTTTAAAAATGCATATTTTTTCAAAACTTAATATGCATATGTTTTAATATAAATTATTGTCAATTATCTGTTAAAATGTTTTAAAATTTATTTTGCTGATCTAAAATACATTAAGACATTGAATTTTTCTTATCAAACATAATAATTGTAAAAGAATAAATTAACATTTATTTTAAAATGTTAAAAAGTAAAAATTTAAATTTTAGATGTGTACATTGTTTTTATTTAATTACAGTTTTGGCCTGTTTTTGATGTTTTTGTTGTAGTTTTCTAGAATCAATACACAAAACGCACACAGAGCGACTGAAGCAGACGTACGAGTGTGAACCCAGAACAACTGCAGCCCGGAAAATGACTTTCATTGACTGTGAATCTCTGACAAAACTCGTTTTCTCTTTCGTCCTGATCACAGGTTGTTTCTTTGGCCTCTGCTCGCTGCACCTGTTTGTCCCGTCAGGCTGCTTCCTGCTTCTACAATAATCATTTAAATAAAAGCTGGCAGCCGCACATTTCACATGTTTTAACAAACTTTGAGGTCACCGACTGGGACGAGGCCAAAGAGCAGCGCGTTGTCAGATGAGCATCCCGCCGAGGAACATGTCAGGTCCAATCAGATGAGTTATGACGGAAAACACCTCGTTTTTAACCTGATGAAAGCTGAAAAGCAGAATACGTGAACACAAAGCGGCCTGCTCAGTGTTTCTCAGCTCAGATTCATGTCTCCGTGGCTCCGGATCGTGTTCTTACACAACTCCTCTCTGTGGGACTGAAATCATGACCTGATGACCGACAAGCGCCTCGGCAGAGTTTATCTGGAGAGTCTCCAACGACCAGCAGGGTTTGGATCAGCGACACCTGGTGGACATTCAGCTTTAGTTCAGGAGCTTTTCAGCTTCTCTGTGCAGAGTTTAAATTAAATGACCTAACAGCGAACTAGGAGGCCAAACGCAGACGATTCAGAGCACTGTGAGGTGGAAACTCTGAGAATCGATGCTCGGTGATGCATCCAGAAAATAAACCTCTGAAATACAAATATATGCACGAGATGTCACTGAAAGAATTCATACCATCCATCCATCATCTCTACACCTTAATCCTCACTGGGGTCATGGGGGGCTGGAGTCTATCCCAGCTGACTCAGGGTGAAGGCAGGTTCACCTGGACAGGTAACCAGTCTATCACAGGGCTACACTTAGAGAAAGACAACCAAGCACACTCACATTCACACCTACGGACAATTTAGAATCACCAATTAACCTCAGCATGTTTCTGGACTGTGGGAGGAAGCCGGAGAACCCGGAGAGAACCCACGCTGCACGGGGAGAACATGGAGACTCCACGCAGAAAGATCCCGGGTGTCCTCACCGGAACGCGAACAGGCGACCTTCTAGCAGCGAGGCAACAGTGCTAACCACCGCTTCCTAAATAAATTCAGCGTGAAGAGAAGAAACATGCAGCTGGGATTGTGTTCAAATGTCTTTTAATAAATAGAGCACATGGTCTTAGAATCACAATAAAAAGGGTCAAAACAGCTCAACATCATCATCTTCTGTTCTCATCTCTCATCGACTCTTTAGAAAGAACAACGCAGGCACTTTACCAGCTTATGTTGACGGAGGGCGACGGGGTGAAGGTGAGCGTGCACGCCGCCGTGCACACGTCTGTAGAAAAGTCAGTAAACAACATACATGTGTAGGTTTTTGTTTTTTTTTATCCATCACTGTAAATATCGTCATCAAAAAGCACATCAGAACAACAGAACCACCCAGAACCAGCGCAGCAGTTTGGCTTCACGTCTCCATCAGAGCATGAGGACGGCTGGAGGAGAAGCTGGTGAGATGAAGGAAGCCTTCAGCCCCAATCAGCTTCTGCTGCTGTTTCACCACATTCATAAAAAAACCCTTAAACGCAGATTCGATCGAAGCACCTCAGACTTTGGCAGATTTGCTGTTTTCGCTTCGTTTGTTGGTGAATGAAACATTTTGTAGGAAACCAAACGAAGCGAGGCAGCGAGAGGAGCAGATGGAGGAACTCAGAAGCTCCTCACGTCTCTGCAGCTCACAAAACAAAACAGCACAAAGAACCCACCAACTGTGATCAAAGTTTGGCTTTTCCTGCACATTTTTAAACGAATTACGAACGAGGTTTCGGTCTCCCGACATGTTCTCTACCACAGCTTGACGCTGAAGTTGGATAAAAGCCTCGCAACGTACAACAAACACAAGCAGAACGCTAACATGCTGGTGTTAGAGGAGCTAAACCCGACTACGATGCTTCACTGCTGTCTTCCTTCAGCTCTCAGTTGTATTAACTGACTGCAGCTTTAAAATCAACCTACTTTGGGCTCATAAACAACTTCTAAAGCGGTGTGATGACAGCGAGGAACCTCCTGGCACAACAGCTTCAACAGATTCCTGCACATCTCCCGACAGCTGCAAGCTGCATTTATTTCTCTATTTATTATTTTCTCAATTAATCAGGCTGTTGTTTGGTCTCTAAAACGTCAGAATTAAAAAGAGTTTACTGTCACGGAGGAGGAACGAAACCAGAAAATATTCACATCGAAGCAGCTGCAATCAAAGAATTCATCTTCATGAACTAATGGCTTCGTCCTGCAGCTTCGTTAATCAGGTTTCATTCAGTCATTCAGTCGCTGCAACTACAGACTCTGGTGTTTTAGCTTCTGGCTGCCACTCCGTCAAACTACAAAGACCTCCAACTGAACGTCCAACTGAAACTTTAAAGAATTAGAAAAGCCGATTGATTTACCAGCTGACATCTAATCGAGTCAATCGCTGCAGCTCTACTCTGTCTAAAAACGTTTATTATAAGTTTCGGTGCTAAATGTTGGTCAGGAGAAGCCTTTCTAACTGGACCGTGTGCAGGAATCTGCTCATTAACCTCATGAGTTGGTGAACGCACTGCAGGAACTTCACATGTTCTGACTGCAGGAACCGTCCCTCTAGAACCAGGGCAGCATAAGTTCCTGCTTTTTCCTACTCTGCTGTAAACATGTGCTCCGATCCACACCTGCAGGCAGCTTCGTATTTAGTGTTCATATCACATCTTCTTCTGTTCATCTCATCGGTTGCTGACTGAATGGCCTCTACTTCTAATATTTGCATTTTCTGCTCCGTGAAAAACCGCCGAACAACGAATAAACGAAGAACCGAAGAAGCTGCTGAATGTGAATCTGGACCTCGGTGCTCTAAATAAAGCAAAACCTTTTTTTCTTTTTTCTTTTTTACATGAGGTGAGAGAAAACAGGAAGTAACAGCTCTGCAGTGGAGATGCAGGATTACGGAGTATCAACGCGGGATTGTCTTAAATTAGGAAGCGAGAATCTGGATTAGTCAGTTTCTCAAAACCTCCAGATTTCTAAAACAGCAGAAGTGACTCGAAAACCAACAACAACAAAAACCCTTTGGTTGGTTCGTCTGTTTCTCAATCAAACTGTACACCCTGTTTTGTTTTGTTTTTTTTGCACGACAACAAACACGTGTTGTTGTTTGTCAGGAGAATCACACAGTAACAAATACACGAGGAAGACGAATCCCAAATGTGCACAAACATACAAAAGAACTGGTCCCTGGAAGTGTGAGGAGGATCATCCGCCAGATTGTCAGTCGTCATCAGATCAGGGTCATCTGCAGGTCGGGGTCGGCGGCGGCGGCGGTGGAGGGTCGGCGGTTCGGCCTCGGCTGGGTGGCCCTGCGTTCCCACGGCGACCCATCGCCCGTCACTTGGAAGGCTGCAGCGTCTCCTGAAGCGACAAACGCGATCGAGCCGCCGGCAGCATCACCGACTGCACGCCGCTCAGTCGCCACGGCAGCAGGCCCAGGAAGTTCTCCTGGTGGCGGGAGTCCAGGGCGAGGCTGAGCACCCGCTGGGGGGGAGTCGGAGGAGGGCGGAGGGTCGAGAGGGAAGTAGAAGGTGGAGGAGGACGCTGGGGAGGGAGGGGAGTGGTCACTGGGCTCCTAAAGAGAAGAAGAAGAAGAAGAAGAAGTGAGGAGGAGCAGAAGAAGAGGCTTCAGGATGGATGGATGATGGATGGATGATGGATCAGTGGATGGATGATGGATGGATGAGTGTGTGATGGAGATGAAGAGAAACGAAAATAAGAAACACTGTCAAAGTTCTTCCTATTCAGACAAAAGCTTCTTGTTAATCTGCAGAATCTGAAAGTTTAACGTCACTTTGTTCACCAGCAAACTAAACTACAATTCACCACAAAGGCCACAAGATATATTTAAAAACAAAACACCAAAATGACTCCACTGATCAGAGCTAGAAACTGTAAGAACAGAAAAATTTAGTGGAGTTTGAGCTTTCTGACAGTCCTTGAACACATCATGTGTGACTTGGAGTTCTGTTGGGAAAATTCGCTTAAAATCGTGATATTTCACCAAAATCATTTTCTTTTGTCTCTTAAAAAGAAAAAGTCCAAAAATAAATCAGATTCTGTACAAAAAACAAAAAATAAATTCTGTGTCTTGAACCAAACAGAAAGTCAGGAATGACTCGGCTGTGACCTGACGTCAGGCAGCGTCGGAGACAAATTAAAACAGGAAGTAGTAAAACATCTGCAGTATGCGGAGCCTCCGTTTGTTTGGTAACATCTGGGGACACTGGCTTACTATGTTTTTGTGAAAATATAATCTTTTTGTATGATTTACTTTCATTATAACTGTGTCATATTGGACAAACTGAACAGTGCGTCTTGAAAATATCAAAACTCTGCCTCACTGCTCATCAGTTTATTATAATCCAGCAAACAACACAGAGGATGTTGGTCTGTGTTCATGTGCACATCTGGAAACCCAGACTTCTCCGTCAGATTCATTCAGCGTGAAAATATCTCCAGAAACTCGTCCTTTAAAAAACGATGGTTTTCATGAGGTATCGTCAAGTTTGCAGCAAATGTAAAACAACAGATGTTGAGCTAAAGTAGTTTCCGACAGAAATTTTAAAAAAAGGAAAATATGAACGCTACAAACTCACCTCACAACTTTAAATATTAAAGCGAAGCAAGACTACAGAAATAATAAACATATTAAAGTGACTAACTTGCTCGTGATCAAAGAAACATTAAACTATCAGATTCTGACCTCTTTTTCCAAAAACAAAAACACACATATCTGCGTTTATGGGTTAAATGAAACTCACACGACAGTTTGTTTTAGTAGAAAGAGAAAAGACAGACGGCAGAGCACCAAACGACACCAGAGCTCAGGAGTGACATGATGTTAGACAGTTTATCAGACATGCAAAATGAAAACTAAACTGTTTTTAAATCTAAGAAACAGCAAAAAGAGACTCAGGTTTGATTTTCTTCTGCTGCTAAAGCTGCAGTTCTGATTCTGAAATATGCAAACTGAGTCTGTTGCACATTTATTAAGACAATAAATGCTTATTTTACTTTTAAAAAATAGGAATTATGGGGAAACTGTAAAAAGAAATCAATGTAATTCTGTTGCTGAATATTTTTTAGAATGAAAAAAAGCCAAACATTGAACTTTGCTGATAAAAGCAGCAAAAGAATAAAACTTTTTGCCTTTTCTTTTTCTTTTAATTCAAGTTTCTAACGTAGTTCTGATCTGCTCGGGGGTTTATTCAACGTGTGAAACGGCTTTTTACAAAAATAATCTGCACCGAAATAATCTGGAACAAGACAAAAGTTTGGATCAGAGAGAAATTCAATTAAATTCGACGACAAAGCCAAATCAACAAAATTAGCAAATTACAAGACAATTTTATCTTAACCGAGAAAAATAGAAATATTACAGAAGCAGTTGCCAGAGAGAAACCCGACCCTTGACTTAGACAAATCTGTAATCTGGTTTGTTTCCCTTCAGAACATCTGAATGTTCCCTGAAAAAGTGTTCATAAAGCATCGCAGCACCGTGCAGTGAGTCGGTCACCCCAAACAGAGGTTCATGCGGTTACAAGCGACACATACGAACGAGTGATGCTGCGGTTGCCAAGGAGCAGGACAGGATCAAGCAGCAGCAGCAGCAGCGGTTGCTAAGGAAGCGGAGAGGCGGCGGGGCTTGGTGATTGGACGATGAGCAGCAGGCGGGAGGGACGGGAGGCAGGAGGGCTCATTTGGGGAAGGTTAGTACGTCACTGTCACACCTCACTCTCTGTAAGAAGCAGACAGACGAAGACGCAGAGGACAAACAGACACGACAGAAGGGTTAGCGGAGGAGAGAAGGAGGAGAGAAGGAGGAGAGAGGAGGCTCGGGACGGACTCGCAACGTCCTGCCGGGAGTCGGGAGCGCTGGAGACGTTATTCAGGCGCGAAAGACGACAGTTCAGAGGAGCAGAAGAAGAGTCATTCGCTGCCCGCTTGTTGAGATAAACGTCTCAGAAATACGATGCAAATGGACGGATGAGTTAATCGATGAGTGAAAACGGTGACGTCTGGGCGGACGGAGGGATGACGGAGGGATGATGGAGGGAT